ATTTTCTTTTTTGCTCTGTTTGCCTGACTTCGCTTTCTTTGCTGTTCCAGCCGATTTTGGCGTTGTTCTTCTGTTTCAGTCATTCGGTTCGATCGAGTTTGTTCTCTTTTCTTTTCAAGTCGATTTTGGCGCTGTTCCTCTGTTTTATTCATTTGGCGGGGTCGTCTTTGTTCTCTATTCTTTTCGAGTCGATTTCGGCGTTGTTCTTCTGTTTCATTCATTCGGCTGGATTGTCTTTGTTCTCTCTTCTTTTCGAGTCGATTTCGGCGTTGTTCTTCTGTTTCATTCACTCGACTACTATAACTGCGTTGCCTTTCTTTTTCAAGACGATTTTGGTGCTGTTGTTCGGTCTCATTCATTCGACTAGATTGAACTCGTTCTCGTTTCTTTTCAAGTTGAACTTGACGGTGTTCTTCTTTGTTATTCTGATCTTTCAACATTGTATCAAATATGATCGATTGAGGAGAATCAGTGTCCGTATTAATTTCACTTCGTAAACGTCTGCTAGGAGTTAATTGAAATTCAGGAATTCGTATTTGGATAACAGAATTATTCTTAAATGTTTGCTTTTCCGGAGTCTAAATAAATCACAACAATTGTGAATTCTCTGCTATAGATAAAAAAAAGCCTACCACAAGAGTTGACGCTGATTCATTATTAGTATCGAATTCACGTTGAACACATGGTGACAGAAGAGGAACAAAATGATTCGGACTCCATATGGAGTTATTTACAATTCTTGCTTCTTTTTCGTTTAAGGTGTGTGACCACAAAATTTTAATTTCACAGTTAGCAATAATAGGTAGACAAGGATTAAAGATATTATTGGCTATAGCTGTATAGTCTCCGACGTCAATTTGTGGATAGACCGTTCGTATGTTACATTTAAGTACATTGCATAATGCAGCAATTTCATACAATTCAGAAAATGTGTGATTTTTACATACAGCTTGGATTGCAATGTCGATAGGACCGGCGAAAGGTGAGTACGTATTTGAATAATAAGTTTCATTCGTAACAAGTTCAATAATTGTTCGAACTAAAAAATATCGCGAACCAACTTCTGCAAAAACATAATCGAAACAAAAATTTATATACCTCGTAATTCACTCGTTGTCACTGCTGGATTATTCATTAGAACAAGAATAGAATAGTACAAACAATTTCCATTGGCAGTAACTTTGACTGGAACAAGATGATGTACATCACTAGTAGCCTGTTCAAGATATTGGGTGGCCACTGTGTCAATAATATGTTTTCTTTCATCAAAAATTTGATTTGGACGAAATTCGTATGGTGCCATAATTGATTCAATCTACAAAACTTTGCTTATAATTTAATTCATATTAAAAATAGCTCACTTCTCGAGTCCGTTGTACAGCAGCAGCAATCTCGTCATAATACATTATACTTTGAGAACATTTTTCGAGATGTTGAAGTAATCGTGAAAACTTTTGACCACGACTCATTTGATTACACTGTGAACAACAGGCGCTCACGCATTGCATACGACAGAATATGCACTGTGTGTTCATCTTTAGGTTGCTCTGATATTTGTATATTATTATCTAGAATATATATAATAGATGAGTACATGAAAAGTTCTTTTGTATAATTATCTATGAAATTTTTGATTATCTGAATCATTATGATATATATAAAGTATTTTCAAAACTTAATATTTGTTTTCACAATCTTCTCAGTTCTTCATTATTTGCACTAAGGATAAGTCTTTCATACCAATCAGAATTGACATTTGAAAATTATTTTCGAAATTTTATTATTCTAAATAAACATCGTATTCTTTCACTTCATTTAAAATATGCTCTACTCATAAAGAAATTTTTTTATTCATTGTCGTGTTGATTCGTCATTCAACCGGCTTAAATCAATTATTCTTCATGGAATTTCAAATAATCAACTTCTTCTAATGATTCTTTTTTATTTGAATACTCTACCTCGTCTCTTTTCATCGAGTGTTCAATTTGAATCCAATATTTATAACGATATTAGTAATATATATACACAGGATAATTTTTCGTTTACCTTCATTAAAATATCATAAAATATTATTATGTAACTTTATGGAAGAAACATCTCCATACTAATATATATCGATAAAAAATTTTCTACTATTGAGCATTTGATTCTTAATCATAGCTGTAATATTGATGAACTTAGTTCTATACTTTCTCATACACCTCATCTTCAACATTTAACTTGTGAAGAGTCGGTTGTCATGAATGAAATTACCAAAAACAATATCAAATAAACATTACATGACTTGATATATGTTTCTTTTCATAGGTGCTCTGTCGTTTTTGATGTGTTAGAAAATTTTATGAAAAAAATTTGTTTTAAACTAGAAGTATGACATTTAAATATATATTGGGATCTAAATTATCTTAATGCTAATCGGTGGAAACAATTATGTTTAGTTTCAAAATCTCGTCATCATATACAAAGATGGAGAAAGAATCAACACAATTGATCATGTAAACATAGTACTGAAATAGTACCAAAGAGATTTCGATGTGAACAGATTAAACAAAATTTCAAGATTGATCTACATTTATTATTCGGTTTTTAGTTTTTTATTTGATTAAATTTCATTGAGATAAGTTAAAAATAATTTTTTTTTATCGAACATTTAATTGAAATAGAAAATTATTAATTTTAGAAAATTTTATAGAAAACATATTCATATAGATTTAGTACTAATGATCCAAATTCATTTTGGGAATCTATTATAAAACAAATAATAAATGTAAAGATTGTTCTCCATATAAAAGATATTCCCTAGACTGAAAGTATAGGGTCTAGAAACCGAAATTCACCTGTGTCTGTCTGTCTGTGTGTGCGTGGATGTGGGGTGTGAGTGTGGGTTGGTGTGGATGTGGCTGTGTTGCATTAGTATAAATTCACACCCACACCCACACCCACACCCACACCCACACCCACACTCACACTCACACTCACACCCACACTCACACCCACACCTCAGTTTTATAGCAAGTTGAACCTCATTTAGCAATTCAATATTCTCATTCTTCTCATTCTTATTCACAATTCTGAATAAACCATTTCGACATTCTTTTTTTTTCCTTCTATTAATTATTTTTTATAGTTACAAAAGAAAAGAATGAACGTGCATTTAAAGATTGGTTTGATAAAGAATCATCAGATCTATCATCATTACCTGAAACATATGAAAATTTAAATATTTTTCATCGATTTTTGTTTGCACGATGTATATCACCAGATCGAACAATATCTGAAGCACGAAATTATATTCAAGATACACTTGGAATAGAATACTCTGAAATTCCTGTACTTAGTTTAGAATTAATATGAGAAGAAAGTGATTATAAAACATCATTACTTGCTTTACATTCATCTGGTGCTGATCCAACATCAAATATTCAAGTATTAGCAAAAAAGAAAAATATTGATTTATTTATTGTATCTATGGGACAAGAACAAGAAATACTTGCACGACATTATCTTCAACAAACAATTACATTAGGTGGATGGCTTTTATTACAAAATGCACATTTAGGTTTAGATTACCTTGAAGAATTTTATGAAAGTAAATTTTTGCAAGTTTTTATCTTCTAATATTAATCATCATCATTTTTTTAAGCTCTTATTGCAATGGATACATTTGATCCATCATTTCGTGTGTATGTAGTATTATTTTAATTTTTACAACAACAACAACCAAAAATAACATATTTTTTATAGTTGGTTAATAACTGAAACTCATTCACAATTTCCAATTCAAATTCTTCAATCATCAATTAAATTTACAAATGAACCACCACAAGGTGCACGAGCTGGTCTTAAACGTACTTATGGATTAACTAATCAAGATAAACTTGAATATATTGAAACAATCTATTGGCGTCCATTATTATATACTACTTCATTTCTTCATAGTATCGTACAAGTACTTATTATAGAAAAAAAAGATGTTAAAGTTTTATCTTTAATGTTTTTTTTGTATTAGGAACGTCGAAAACTTGGACCATTAGGATCGAATATTCTATATGGTAAATAGAGGCCTGCAGGTTAAAGTATTTTGACAACCTGTAACCTGCCCGCTTTGTCTGACACTATAGAAGGATTGGAACTTTCATATCCTTTTTATATGCACTTTATTTCAGATGTAAGGCAAAAAAAAGTAATGCTACATATCCTGAAAATTTCTAATCATCAAAATATCAACTTATGAGAATGACGGAACGAACATAAAAATTGATGTTCTTCCAGATTCATCAATTAAAAATGAAACTTTCATTAATATAATTCCGTAATTTTAAAAAAACAAATTTATTACACTTGCTTTATTCAAATGTTCCTTTTAATTAACGAACCCCAAACACATCAATTTTCATGTCCATTTCACCAGTCAAACTACCTCTTTTTCCGTGTTTTTGATATAAAAAATTTTTTTGGATTTGTACGTCCATGGAGACACTTCTATTATCTCTTAAATATTTTTGTGAACGATTTAATTTCGTTATCATCTTAATTCTATTCTTTTCTTTATGTATAACTTTAGAAAAGATGCTGACGATATTTGATATACAAAATTTTTTGATATACAAAATTTGTCGCAGGTTGACAGATTATGGAATACATAACCTGCAACCTGCCCTGTAAAAATTTTCGTAACCTTACTCTGCCCTTCCCTGTTCCTAGCGTAACCTGCATATTTAAATTTTATTTTGATATTATAGAATTCAATCAAACAGATTGGGAAGCATTTGTACAATATATTCAAAATCATTTGGATGATATGATTCCAAAATTAGTATGAATATCTTTTTTTTTCTATAAGTTTTTTTTTTAATTCCTTATTATTAAAGAACATATCATGGAAAGCTCTTCGATATATGATATCAGAAATTCAATATGGTGGTAGAATAACTGACGATCGTGATCGTCGTTTAATGATTACTCATGCTAAAGTATATTAGTTTTTATTAATTTATTTGAAGTGGTTGTTATTTTTTTTTCTACTGATAGAAATGGTTTAATGATTTATTATTTTCATCAGATTTTAAATTTTATGATGGTTATTCAATACCAAAAGTAAAACGTCTTGATGAATATATTGATTATGTTGATAAATTTCCATTAATTGATCCACCACAAATATTTGGTCTTCATTCAAATGCTGATATAACATATTCAACAAATCGGACAAAATCTATGCTTGAAAAAATTATTCATATACAACCAAAAGAAGCAAGTTCAAATATATCTGGTATTGAAACACGTGATAAAATTGTTTATAATCTTGCAAATGATATGTTAATTAAATTACCAAAGAATTTTATACATATCAGAGAAAGAGAAGAAAACTATGATTCCATGATAAAATCATATAAAAAAAATCGAATGTCTGAGAAGATTATATACAGAATCAAGAAAAGATATGTCTAACATGATACTTCAAGTCCTTCATGATTTCCATGTATAAGAAGTATGAACACATAAGTGTAAACGAAATACTTTTTCCACCGGGAAAATAGGTGGTACAACCCTTGTACCACGGTTCTGAAAGGGTTAAAGTTCCTCTGATGCTCCCTTTGATAATTCGAAACACTAATTGAAATGTTTTGGTAACAGAAAAAGAAAGAAATAAGTTTGTATACTTGAGAGGCGTCTTTTTATGTATTTTTTTTTTTTACTTTTCAGAATTTTTTAAAAGTTTTTATAATCTCTCATAAAAGTATTGATAAAGTGAAAATGTGAGCTTATTGTCTTCTTTAGAAATTACAATTTGGTTTCAGCGAAGCTACGCATAACCGCGTCGCATTTTAACCGCAATTGAACATATGGGCAATCCAACTAAATATAGTTAATTATTAAAACGTGATACAAGACTTTTTATATAAATTATATCAAATTTGATAGTTTTTTTGTTTATTTTACTCTCATAGTTGCACTATTTTCTCTGAATTGATTACTCTTTTCACTTGTTGTATGACGCGAACCAAATAAAAATAAGTTGTCAGTTGTCGAATAATTATTGTATAATTATTACTTAAGGAATTATTTAATAGTAGTTGTAAAGAAACATTTGAAGATTTTGTTTCAATAGATGATGATGAAACGATTACTGGTTGATGAATGTTTAATAAAAACTAAATTTAACAAATAATTTTGAATGAATGTTATAGTTTGAGAAAAAAAATGATTTTGAAACTTTGAACTTAAAGATGAGTGCTTCAGACTTTTTTTGCTGTTCCTGTCCTAAGATATAATTTTAACAATAGTGTCTTATAAAGACTACTGTCGTAGATCAGATGGTTTTATATTCGAATTTCAAGATAGGATCAAAATAAAAAAAAACCTGATACTGTCATAATAAACTACTCTCGCCAACATCATCTTTAAACATTAATTATAAGATTTCTATTGAAAGTTTTGTCCATAGATACGTTTGAGATTCAATAGAATATTTTAAAGATTTAAACTCAATCGATGAATAAAAACTTTCAAATAACTTATCTCTTGTATGCATTGAATATAGATTTTAGATATTAAACTATTTCTTCAAAATTTCTTGACAAATTATGTGTAGAAATAACAATGTTGGTGAAAGTAATTGTTCAAAAGGATCATTCACCAATGAGTTTAATAAACGTTTATATATTTGATATTTTGAATGTATTCCTCTGAATAATTTCATCATTGTTGAATTATTTCCAAAAGTAGTTAATGGTGTGTACGATTAACTATTTTTATCATTATGTGTTTTTGATGTCGTTGAATTTACAACATCAACGTTATTTCAATCTTTTTCATTCTCTTTAAAAAGAATGAAACAAATGAATTCGTTCCGATGTGCGAAAAATTCTCTATGAAATTCAAGTATCTTTCGCTAAATCCAAGGCTCGATCAAATATATTCTTCATATCTAAAATTCGTGAAATCCTTTCTTTCTGTGAAAACTGAAATATCAAGTGGAGATTTTATCTTCTGTCCTAATCTGAAAACAACATAGACAGTTGAATATTATTTTTTTTATTTTCACATAATTGAATAATTTCACTTATCGAAATATCATTGAAATTAAACACTTGAAACCGATAGATTCGATCTTTTTGTTCTTTCAATTTTTTTTTCATATCTAAAATAATAGAAGATACTTAAAATCATATTTTTTATATCTCTTCCTTTTGATGTTTTTAGTAAAAGGATTCAATGGTTGAAAAGATCGATTTAAAAAGAGTAGAGCCCTGCAACGATTCGAAGACATCTTTTTTGGAGTCGTTCAAAATAAGTATGCCTTTCGTAGTTTTTGACCTTATTATGTTATTTGACCATGAGTTTTGAAGAAAAATGTTTACTTTCGTACTAATGTATTTACAAACATTAAAAGAATGTTAATGTGTTTTTAAATACGACAGTTTCAGAAAATTATTTTGGAATTGTTGCAGGGCTCTAGTTCTATGAAAAAAAATGAATAAAGTATATTTACAAAACTACATTTATTTACAAAATTACATTTACGTACAAAATTACATTTACAAAATTTTATTTACAAAAAATTATATTTACAAAAAAATATTTACAAAATTATATTTACAATGTTTATTTACATTGATTTGTACATGGTTGCTGGTCTTGTGGCATGGCGACCAGCATGCCGGGAATGAGTACCGGCCATTGGAGCTGGTACGGACCAGGGACGCAGCCTTGACTATCTAAATAAAATATGGTTTTCTTATTAAAATTCCAAAATTTAAAGATATTTGCTTACCTGTCGCCGGTGTACTGGTGGCATTGTACACCGGCTGAACTCCTATGCACCCCACCAGGTACATAGGAGCGGCTGGCTCCTCCGTGATGGTGCTAGCATCACGGACGGAATAGCAAGGCCACATTGTCCCTATTTATGAAAAAATCAATATTAATTGAAAAGTTTTCATCATGTTACTCACCTGATTTTCCCCGTACCAGCTTCTCTTTATGGCCGGTACATGCCGCCGCCGACTTTGCACATGCCATCGCTTCTCCATGATAGGCATGGCCCCATACCGTCGAATCGGCGGCGGAGCCCGTAGACGAGGTTGTTTTTTTGTTTAAATCGTTTAATCGTTGTGAAAAGTACATGATCTGTAAGTAGAAAATTTTTTTTATGAACATGCATTGCGTTTGCTTTATATATATATACATCCAATGACAACCTCCCATGGCGCTCATTTCAAGTTTATATGATAGATAAACATAATGTGAAAGCATTCATCGCATATCTTCACGGAAGTGTGTGCTGTTACCTCACATCTTCAACGATAGAGATGAGTAATCGTTGGTCATTAATCATATTCGAACGAACTCAATGCTCACACATCAAATAATAACAAATTGTACACAAATCAACTGACCATTATCAATTCCAATTCATCAAAAAGCATATTTACATACAAACATATCATCCGTCACAAGTTGCTTCTTGTTTTGAATCTCGGTTTTTCTGTCTCCTCGACATAGTCCAGCTTGGTTTCCAAAACATGATACTGCCAGGCTTCAGATACATGGAGAATTAGTGTACATGGTGAACTAATTCGCGAAAGAATAGTATCGGACACACAAATCTGATTTTCCACAAGAGTTTGCCGCAACAAGGGTTTATTATAGAAGAATAATGTAGAAAATGACAAACTATATTTCTACAAAATGTTCGATAAACATACATAAAACAACTACTTGATTGTTATAGATAGGCATTAAAGAGACATTGAAGAGAGAGTTTCTCTCTTCCTCAAAATGATTTTTCATCGTAACCAGCATCTTTTACTCGAGAATCACTTCTCGGACCTAGTCTATCATATCCGATGAAATACAATTATACGGGTTTGACAAAAAATTGAATCTTCTTTGTTTTGTTCACTTATTGACCATGGACATTTATCCATTAGAACACGATATTGAAGAGAGTTTCTCTCTTCATTGACATGATCTTTTATTGAAATTAGTATCTGCTGCTCGATAATCACTTTTCATATCTACTCCATCACATCCAATGAAATACAATCATATGGGTTTGACAAAAAGCTGAATCTTTTTTGCTGATGATTTATTTACTATCGGCATCTACAATTAATTTCTAGTTTACATATGAAAAGAGAATAACACTAAGTAAGAAAAACTTAAAATTTGAAATAATACTTTCAAGAACAAAATGTGATAAAAGAAGTGTTAATATACTATCCTATATCTAATTTACGATGACTCATTTATTTGTTTGAACGTGATGCGATGCTTCAAATGTTTCAACGTTGATGGCGTTAACTGAGTCTTTAATACCATGCTGATGATCATCGCCAAGGTCTTCTTTTTTATAACTATTTAATTGACCTGAATGTATTGCATGATTTTTATGACGTTCATCCATGAGACAGGATTCTAATCGACCATCTGCTTGTTTTTCCTAAAATGAAGATAGTTGATGAACATATTATTTTGTACTTCAGTTTTCACTTGTTGTTCAGTTGATAATTCAGTTAATTGATTATTTTCTTTTGTTGTTGCAATACAAATACCTATAATAAATGTATACAACAATGTTGTCACACCTATATGTTAATTGAAATAATTTACTACCACTTGAATTATTCGATTGAACAACACCATTATCAAATGTTTTTGAAGTATTGTACGTCTCGCCGGTTTCTAGAAACAAAGTGGTATTAACTTGATTTATATGATGAGAGTATTTAACTGTTTGATTCGATTTCTGGAATATCTGAGAACGGATATCCAGCACGAAATTCATCATCATCCAAATATAAGTCTAATGACCAGTGAGCAAATTCAGGTGGTAACGGATTATTATAAACTGGATTGAAATCTTCATTAGAATTTGTCATTGTATGTATGCTGAAATTTTTGTATATATGATATTAATCTTCAAAAGATGTCTAAAAAGCAAAATGTCGAAACATTATTGTTAATAAGTACACTCTTCCTCCTCATATACATATATATTGGTTTATTGAGACACGTTTCAATAAGTGAAATTGAAAGATGAAAGCGTATAGATTATCGTATTTGTATGCAATTATGACACACAATTGTTGTTTATCCTTTCTCTATAATTTCACACTTGACGTTCGTTTTAAGTCGAAAAGCTTATAAATTTCTCAGTAACGTACGTCTGAGAGATATTAAGTGCCACCAATTGATTAATTAAACTGTTTGTTTCGAGATGTTTCATTTACTAACTATTATTTCTGTTTATTTCACCTTTCTCTAGCTTCCGACATTTAGCAGAATGACAGCGTATCTGTATTCATTTTTTCTGTATATGTTTTGAAAGAAAAAAAATAACTG